TTGAGTGAACATGCATTTGCAGAATATAGAACGTGCATTTAGCACTAATGATTTTATACAGCCAAGACAAAAATGTGTATTTAGGGAGGTATTGCATTTATAGAGGTTGCATTTAGGGAGGTCCGACTGTATAAATAATACTAATAAATAAAGTTATGAACAAGACCCCACCTGAATACCAAAAAAAAAACTAATTGATTCAAAATTTATATTCTAAATAAACTTGTTTAATATCCAAAAAAATATAAACTAGTTTGCAAACTATAAACCAAATCCAAAATTATAATTAAATTTAAGTTTAATTTAAATTTAAAAATTAATAAAATTTAAAGTTTGCCTAGTTCGAGTTTGATGTTTGATCAAATCGAACCGAACCAAACCTAACCTAGAAACCCTAAAATTTAAGATTAGAATATAATTATATAATTGTAAACTAAAAAAGATTAAATATAAAGGTTTAAATTATAATTAATATAGGATTTTGAAAAGTTTAAACTTAATATATCTGATTTTAGTTTTTAAAATACATATATATAATAGTTATGGTGTTAAACACCGTTAGTGTGTTTTATTAAACTCGATTATCAAACAATTTTAACAAAAAAATAATTTTTTTAATCTTAGATTAGGGTTAGACAAATTTTATATATAGCAAAATATTAAATACTATTGATAATCACCAGTGGCGATAAATAGCAAACTCCATAAAATATTCAAATGCATTAAAAACTATTAACAACTCTACCCAAAACCTACTTTAAATATGTTGGTTTAGACAAATATAATATACTTCAAGACCTTAACAATAATATATCGTACGTACGTATAAGTTCACAATAGCTATAACATGCATTATAAAACTTATATTAACAAATCTTGCAACAAGATTAAACAGTCAAAAATTAAAGCTGTATATTACGATTAATTAGGGATCAAACATAAACAAATAATACTTTATTTTAGCATAAACAAATAATACTTTAACATAAACAAATAATACTTTATTTTGAACGACGCATTTAATTTCTACAGGCAATATAGGCCTTTTTTGGCCAATAAAAACATAAATTTTTTAATAAACCAAAACGGGATTATTTGTATATAAATTTTTTTATTTAACAGGTATAGCCATGATTGCATTCTTTGCTCTTCTTTTAATTTCTAAAATAGCGTCCATTAGTTGAGTAGTCTTCTCTGCTAGTATCCTCTCTTGTTGTTCCGTTAAATCTTTCAAGTAATCCTCAACAGTTAATGTTTTCGTTAATTGTTCACTTACTGTCAAAGTGATATCCTCAGTAGTTTCGTTATTCATTGGCTCTATTGGAGATAACGAATTATGCGTACTTATAAATGGGTTAACTATCTCTTTATTGCGTTCCTTATCCTCTCGAATGCTTGTAATTTCCATTTGATTGTTGTCATACGCGTTATTAGTTAGGCTATTTAGCTCCTCCGTTAAGTTTCTAAGACAATCATCAACAGACAATGTTTTTTCGAATCGTTCTGTGATATAAATTTGATCATTACTATATGTGTTATCTGTTGTTATACTATTTGTCTTATCCGTAATCGTTGGCCGGAAAGAGAGCGGTGGAGTACCAATATGATCATTACAGTATATGTTATCTGTTATACTATTTGTTTTATCCATAATCGTTGGACGGAAAAAGGGTGGAGTACTAATATGATCATTACTGTATATGTTATCTGTTATATGATTTGTTTTATCCATAATCGTTGGACGGAAAAAGGGTGGAGTACCAATATGATCATTGCTGTGTATATTATCCGTTATATGATTTGTTTTATCCGTAATTGTTGGACGAGAAGAGAGCGGTGGAGTACCAGTATAAGGAATTGCTATCTCCCTATTGTATTCTTTATTCGCTTCGACAGTTAATATCTTTGCTGTTTGTTCATTTGCTGTCAGATATTCAGATGTGGTATCATCAATATTTTCGTTATTCATCAGCTCTATTGGAGCTAACGAGTTAGGCGTACTTGTAAATGGAATATTAGTCTCTTTATTGCATTCCATATCTTCTCGAATGTTTGTAATTTCCATTCGATTATTATCATACACGTTGTCAGTTAAGCTATTTAACTCCATTTTTTCGAATCGCTCTGTGATATACATTTGACCATTACTATATGTATTATCTGTTATATTATTTATTTCACCCGTAATCGCTGGATGGAAAGAGAATGGTGGAGTACTAGTATAAGGAATTGCTATCTCCTCATTGTATTCTTTATTCTCATTATATTTTTTGTCCTCATTATATTCTTTATCCTCACTGTATTCTTTATCCTCATTGTATTTTTTATCCTCATAGTATTTTTTACCCTCATTGTATTTTTTATCTGCTTCGACTTCCTCAATAATTAATGTCTTTGCTGATTGTTCATTTACTGTCAAAGATTCTGATGGGATATCCTCAGTACTTCTGTTAATCGCCGGCTCTATTGGAGCTGAGTTAAGCATAGTTGTAAACGGAATATCTGTCTCTTTATTGCATTCAATGTCCTCCCGAATATTTGTAATTTCCAATTGATTATCATACGCGTTATTAGTTAAGCTATTTAGCTTCTCCGTTTTTCCGGATCGTTCCGTAATTTCCATTTGATTGTTATCATACACCTCCGCTTTTCCGAATCGTTCTGTAATTTCCATTTGATTACTATCATTAGTTAAGCTATTTGGTTTCTCCGTTTTTTCGAATTGATCTGTGATATGTACTTGATCATTATTGCATATATTATCTGTTATACTATTTATTTCATCCGTAATCGCTGGACGGAAAGAGGGCAGTGGAGTGACAGTAGAAGGAATTACTATCTCTTCATTATATTCTTTATCCGCTTCGATTTCTACGATTTCTTCAACGGACAATATATTTTGATCATTACTGTAGGTTTTATCTGTTACACTATTTATTTTATCCGTAATCGCTGGACGGAAAGAAGGCGGTGGAGTACCAGTACAAGGATTTGCTATTTCCTCATTGTATTCTTTATTCGTTACGACTTCTGCGGTTTCTATTTGATTATCGCACATATGATCCGATATATTATTTTGATTGTCTGTTAAATTCATTGCACACTCTTGATCCGCATCGTTGTTTTTAGAATTTTCAGGAGTAGGTTCATTCAATCTAAGTTGATTTATCATATCTGATAATTCTATTTCTTCCTCTTTAATTTTTACAACCTCAGTGACTTCGGATTTGATCTGCTTCCTGGTTCTTTTAGTTGCACCAACTTTTGTTGTCTTTGCCTTTTTCGTTTTCGGATTTTTAGATTTTGGTGGTTTAGCGAAAAATGGACACAAAGGAAATCGTTTGTTATGTTCTTTACTTTATAATTTAAATTGATAGAAATTAAAAATTATATTTATAAATCATAAACATTCAAGAACATTAAAAAAATATAATTTTCTTACGTAGGATCATCTTTTGGTTCCCATCCTTCTAACCCTACACCACAATATTGACAATTTACATTATCGAGAGAACCAAGTGTTGGAGAGTAGATAAACCCCGCTTTAGCCATCTACAATTCCCAAACTAAGATATCAATAAATATGTTTGATCGTATTTTTTTTTTCTTTTTTTTCAAAGATATCAGTCAATTAAATTTTTAATTTAACAAAAAAAAAAAAATAATAATTATATTACCTTTTTAATTGTACCAACCCAACCTTTTTTTCCTTCATGAGGCCACCAGGTACCAAAAGTTTTAATTCTAGCTTCTTCCAACTTTTTAGAAGTTGGTAATTTATCTTTATCGTCCCAATTAAAAGGTAGCTGTTCATCATTAAAATTTCTTAATGAGCAGTAACAAATTGCCCAAGCACAATCTGGAGAATGTTTGGCATGTTCTTCGAATGGATCGTCCTGAGGATCCCAACCTTCCATCGATTTATGACACAGAAAACATACAACATTATCTTTTGAATTTGGAACAGGATTAAAATAAAATCCTGCTTTTGCCAACTAAATAAAAAATCAAAATTTAAATAAACTTTATAGGAATTATCCAATTAACCGATTAATAACGAACCGTTTCAGGTGTTGCCTTATATTCCTCGGAGTCTTTGTAAGGCCATTTCACTTTTTTAGATTGGGTATAAAAAGAATTCAGCCGGTTTTCATATATGTGCATATTCATATTAACAAATTATAAAGAATAAAAATTACTTTAATTCTTGTATCACGGTCGCGACTATGACGCGTTTATATTTTTCGCTATCTGAATGTGACACAAGATTAATATCACATGTCTAGTGCTGTAGTGATGCAAACGGCTCGGCTCGGCTCGGCTTACGGCTTGCATTGACCAAGCTGAGCCGATCTTTCGGCTCCAAAGTCAGAGCCAAGCCGTTTGTAAGC